GCACATCCAATCTCTTCTTGTTCTGGATCTGATTCTGGTTCAAACATTTACAGCTGAACTTCTAGATTTTGTTACCAGCTGACACTCATTAGTCTGGGCTTAGACTGTGTCATCACTCTGTCTTCTCCTGACCAATTAGAGCTTTTTTAGGGAGGGGGTCTTAAAGAAACAGGAGCTAAAACAGAGCTTTCAGACGGAGGATGAGAAGAAGTGCGACAACACAGTCCAGTACGGGAAAAGTATAATTTTTTTTGAACATTTAAGCATCTAAACATATTCTAATAGACCCCCAAAATAATGCTTTAATCTAAAAATGAGCATGATATGGGCTCTTTAAAATGCCACTATGCTGACGGCATCCTAAAGTGAGACATCACAACAGCATGCAAGTAAGTAAGAAGTTGTCATGTTGCTTACTAAATGAGGACACTCCTCAGCGACAGGTCCAGTGCAGAGCTGCATGCATGCTGCCCTGGGGAAGGAGGCATTGTAAACTCCTGGCCACGGACTCACGGGTCTGGGGGGCTTCCAGCGATAAGCACCAACAGGGGGGTCTGCAAATGGTATGCCATAGAATACATGGGCCTTATCCACTGTGATCCCTCTTATCTGACCATTTTTGGTGAACACCACCGGTCCAGGAGCCGCGTCTGTGTCCTGATTGACTGGTTTGTCCTTGGGTTGCTGTGTGATTGTGAGGTCCTCAGGGTGTCCCAGGTCCTTGAGGGAGTTTATCTGAAAGTCTCCATTGATGATTAACGGCTCGTCTCTTACCAACAGCCCGGGGTAGATATTTCTCAGAAAGCTGACAAGGTCGATGTCATCGTCATTTTTCGTCACGTCTCCAGAGGAAAGCTTTAAGCTCAGTGTGCACAGCAGCAGCAGCAGCAAACACTGCCAGCTCTCCATGTTGCAACAGAATGCTACTTCCCCAGACCGCGCTGCTCAGATCATGATTTGACTTGAATTACAGTCCAGCTGAGGTAGAAAAGTTGCAGCCCCCACAAACCTGGAGCCTGAAACTCTCTACGGACTGTGGATACTTGTGATTCCAATTTGGCTTGTTGCTTGTTCAGATTTATCAGACAAAAGCTGCTCTGTCTGACTGCTGAGTGCTGTCCAGTACACTGTGAACAGCTGGATACAGACATTGTGATGCAGGACCACTAATAGAGGACAAGTCGTCTTTCCTTTGCTTAATGTAATCACAGTCGCATGCAAAAGGTAAATGGGGATAAGATATCCGGTATTCTTCATGAAAGAAAAAGGGCTCTTTTAGGTACTCATTTAAAAATCTGTTTCTCTTTTACCACCTAGTTCTATTAGTTGCTAATGCTGAATTAAAACAAATACATTCACTGATGTGTTTCTTCACTGCAACGAGACAACTAAATTGCATTCAGGTGCACAGTGCCACCTACAGGCCTTCTGCACCACAGCATACAAGGCTGACTGCCCATGTTGGGCTCTTAAAGGTCACAATGGGGTCAGATGTTTACAGAACAAAAAATATTAAGTTACATGTAATTATGCTTACTTTTTTTTTTTTTTTAAACATCCATCTCTGATTTTTGCCTTCTTCTTATGAAATATGGAATATATTCCAATTTTTCAGTTTTAAAAAGTCTGAAAAAGCACTAA